AATACTTGTTATTTGTCTTTGTTTTTTTAACTGAAAATCAATTTGAATTTCGTCACATCAAAAGAGAAAAACAATATTAATTAACCGTTTTAATTAATATATTGTTAGACGTCGTGCCATTGAGAAATGCAATAAAGTTCACGTCTAGGGTATCCACAAATTAGAATTTTTTTCGATTGATTTACCTGAGCTCAGATCTCTAATCAACATTCTATCGCTTTTTTGCTTATAATAGTAATTAAACTACGTTCTAAATTTAATTTGAACATTCCAATAATATTTTGAAAATATATTGTTAAAATATTAACAATTGCAAACATTTATCACATTAAAAAATAGCTATATAAAAATAAAAATAACAAAATTTGAAAATATACAAACTAGTGTTATTTTTTTAATTTATTATTTAAAAAATTGGCACGTATAGCCGCCCATACTAAAATATATGTTAATAAAAAGTTGGTAGGCAGTTCTTTTGGTTTCAAAGTATAGTCTGCCCAACGAGAAGATCCTTGACAGTGATAGATGTGTCTGTCATTTTAATTTCAAAGTAGTTTATTTTATTTTACAAAGAAATAAGTTGGTACAACTGGAACGCATAGCAGGAAATATTAAAAATTTGATTGACAAGATGACAAGTGATTACTTCAAAATATTGTGAAAAAAACTGTATAAAACTGAAAAAACGTAATCGAGTTATTTTATTTAATAAAAACGGTATGTGTTAATACAAAATAAACAAGCACAAGACACTACATACCAAAAAAATATAAAAAAGAACTATTATTTACTTTCAAGCTTTATGAAACTACATACAACATAGGTAAATAAAACAAACTATTTTATTAATAATAACACCTACCAAATTTTATACCTTAAAGGTTGATTAATTAACTTTAATCTTAATTTTTTTAAACCAGTACCTTTTGACATTATTTTTCTGCAGTACTAAAATCCATTATTTACCTATCGTGTGATGTCGATATTTTACAGCTACTCCAGTTTTTAGTATGTGTTTAGTTTGATCCTTCTACCATATACAAGATGCACTTATCTACGACGAAATGGTATACAAACTTTATCGATGGCAACTTCATTGGTGTATAAGACTTTCTGCCTGGGCAGCGAGTATTAACCATAAACTGTGCTCTGGGTCTACAGTTAATTTTCACTCGATTTTTCCTCCACTTGACTTCAAAAGACACAAAACACACGTAATAATACGAATCAAAATGCATCATATTCCAAAACGCAGGGTATTTAACAAAAGTTGACACAAAATTATAACCTAGAATTTGGCAAGACTTTGACAAGCGTCAAAAATGACAAAAATCTAAAGGCGAGTTCATACACATCGGCGTCCGTTTGTCGTTCATCCTTCCGTCAAACCAATAGAATTGAAATACGACCTGTCATTTTTTAAATAAACCAATAAAACTGGTTAAAAACAACAAGAGACGACGCATGACGGATTTATATTTAAACCCATCCATAGTTAACTTAAAAAATATTAGAAACTTTTTTTAGTAAAATAAATAGATTGGTATAAACGTCATCTGCTTTTCTTCTGTCATCGTCTGTCGAAATCTTACCTGAGAAAAAAAACAGAGTATAAAGGAATACTTCCAATTTTGGTCCGCGGTTATTTTCCCTATCCGCCACCTGGGGTCGCGTCCGATGGGAGTTTGGAGTTCTCCACATGGATTTTCTCAAAAACGGACTACGGAAACACGGAATATCTCAAAAACTGCGACTTTTGATCTTGCTGATTTTGATGTTATTACAAATTTTGTTGCAAATATTATTCCTAAACTTAAATTGAAAACCGCGTTTCGCTAGCTACTGTAATTTTGGAGTTACGATTTTTTTAAATTTTTAACCCCCTCCCATACCAGTACCAACTAATGGCCAGATTCTCGGGTGTCACAGTATTTTTGTGCCAAATTTGGTTAAAATCGGTTTAGCGGTTTTTGGGATATCGTATTACAGACGGACAGACAGACAGACAGACAGACACCATGAAAATATTTTGTATTTAGGTCATTTATGACCCAAATAACTAATTTTGAGTGAATTTAAAAATCTTTTTTTTGCCGATTTTCTAAAAAATAATTATTTTATTTTGTAGATTTTCTTACAGTGACGTAATACCCAGAAGACTTTTAAATAAATTCGCCACAAGTATATAGACGTTATTTAACAAAAAATACTAGTTACACTTCTGTGCTTAACACAACACATTGGAATTTACATGTCACGCTATCTCCCAAGAAACTGTAAGAAACTTTGGGAGATGTTTCGAACTTCTGGCTATCGCAGTTTCACCCTCAGTGTCTCTAATTTCCCCTCCAAAAAAAAGTTATAAAAACAAAGACGATGCGCCCTGTTAAATCTGAGTTTTGCCCTACTCTGTGCTCTAATAAAAGTTGGTGAAATGTTGCCGTGTAATTTTCTGCTACATTTTTTATTATTTAATTTTCGAACTCTTCACTCGACGTAGAATCTGACGTGTCACGTAATCTGGCAAGTAACATGCATCTAGCAAGTTACGTCGAATTGAACAAACGACAATAAGTGTGTCAGCGCACACTGAAGTAGCACTGTCAAAAACGTGCCATCTGTCGTTGTAGCATGCCATGCCACTTCTTCAAAAATAGAACTGCTTCTACTTTTGCCACGTGATTTGGACTTCAATAAACGTTTTGTATCATTGATTGTGGCTTTTCTAACTAGCACATCAAAGGTTTCTTTTTTCATTCTCTAAAATGTTTGAAATCTAATAGCGACGCTTTGGATAATTTTGGTTCACATCAATTGAGTTTACAACTGCTAACAAATCTCTGAGAAAGACATGTTTACGCCACCGCCATATCACTTATATGTGCTTCCTGTAAAATCATGCAACGCTATTGCCATATCATTGCCATATATGTGCAACGTCACCTGCTAGTAGAGATGAGCAGAAAATCGCAAACTGCGATTTAATCGCAGCGATTGTAAATTCGCAATCGCAACCTGTGATTCCTTTCCATAGCAAACTGCGACTTGCGATTGAAACATATATCTGCCGATTTTGGATTTTTAGGCAACCAATATTACACCAGTTGCGATTTGCAATCGCAGTGAGCACGCGAACGAAGAGCTGCGAACGAAAATCACAGCATTGCGATTTTTGTTCGCACCGGCGGCGTTGCATCGACACGGCACTGAGAAGCCGAACGATGAGCTGCGAACGAAAATCGCAATATTGCGATTCTCGTTCGCCCCGGCCGGCGGCGGCGCGTCTTCAACACGGCAGTTGACAGGCGAACGAGGAGCTGAACGAAAATCGCAGCTCATCCCAGCATTGCGATTGCGATTTTCGTTGGCACCGGCGCGGCATCGGGAGTGGGCACGCCAACGAAGAGCGGCGATTGCGATTTTCGTTCGCAGCTTCCAGCACATCGGCCTAGACTAGATCGCAAAATCACATTCGCAATCAGGGCCCCGTAATTTTTATGAAGCGTTGGAAAATAGGCTTATATATGTTTATATACCGCATAATATATATAATTTATTAGTTTTAAATTTTGATAATAGTTTCAGATTTATAATATAATTATGGATTGAGAAGGTTAAAAAATTCTTGTTTTCGGTTATGACTAATTATAGTTACAGTTGCTCCCAGGTAATGATTCAGGTAAAATGATTCATAAAGAGAGTTTTGGATTCAAATTATAAAAAATTATCTATTTTTATCCTTTATTGACTAGAAGATATAGAACACGGAAAAGAAACAGCTCTTTTATTTATTATATTTTGTTATATATTATATTATTATAAACATTTTTATAACAATCCATAATATAATATAATTTTCTGAATATACTAACAGTTGTGGATCGGCTGCTATGTTAATTTAAATACATCCTTTAGAATCAGTTTCTTCATTTTAGAGAAATTGTAAATATAATAAAATGTGATATTGTCCTTTTATTTATCTAAAAGTTCGAAAGTTTGCACTTGCACTGGACGGGCCGTATCAAAGCCGTCGGCGTCGGCTTCTTTGAGTTACATATAAAGAAAATGTTTTTAAAAGAAAACAAGATAAAATAAACAGTTTTTTCTAGTTATCTGAATTAAGGTTGGCGGCAACCTTTTTATAATAAATTTTTCGTTGGTATACGTATACCTACTGTCTAAAAGCACATTCGAATATTTTGAACATTTTATGTATTTTTAATTTCCCTTTTAAATTTATTCGGTCTGTTCTAATCAAAAATGTTTAAAAAAAAGAAACTAAGTTATTTGTGGATTTTTTTTGGTAGGTAATTGATGAAAATTTTAAGTGCAATATGTGTACAGCAAAAATATCATAAAAAACACGCACTACAAATTTTAAAAGGCACATAGCATCGAAACACCCAACAGTTTCTTATTAAAAAAAAATTATTCCGTTATTTATTCTGTTTTTTATTAGAAATTTTGGGATTGAGCTTCCCAGATTACAGCCTACCAATTTAAAAATATCAACATCGCAATCGCAGGTTACAGTCGCAGCGATTTATAAATTACAATCGCAGTTTCAACTGCGATTGGAAAATCGCAGTTTTGCTCATCTCTACATGCTACGTCACTTTGGTGGGTGTTCTCCCTTAGTTCGGAGTACTTAGTTTTCAGCCCAAATACTCCTATCTCTGTTCCTGTTTTGGTTTTGAAAGTATAGGTATACCACGTTATGACATGGCTTTTTAACTGCTGAGCAGAGATTAACAAAGAAGACATTCTTGCTATAATCTTCAACTTGTACTTTTTACGCCTATTAAAAAATATTTTCATTTAATAAATTGCTACAAAAAAGTCTTTAACTGAAAATTGATTGATAAAAAACGAGAATCTTGCTGTATATCCTTTGCTTACGCTTTTTCATTCACAGTTTCGGCGCAAAAGTAGAATCGCGCCTCAACTTATACCTGACGCTCGCCACTGCTGGCGCTGTTTAGTCAGGACTGTAACCAGTGTCGCGTCCAAATTCGTCCTGCAAGCACAGACTGTACAGGCTGTCCTGAAAAAAGCCGCGCGGCGCGCGATATTTTGCGCTTGGGAAACTTTCCTTCACCATGAAAACTTGAAAAACATTCTTAACTCAATTTTTTTTAACATAAACATTATTTCCCATTAATCATGTGCTTTTTTAACTTAACTTTATTCAATGCAATGAAAACTTAATAGCGTTAAAATCATCATGGACTTAACCAACGAAACTCTTTGTAGTGAAGCGATCTATGGACCAAAAAGGGGAGAACTGTATATTGTGGTGCCGATCACTGTGGTTTATGTGCTGATTTTTATCACGGGGACTATCGGGAATATTACTACTTGTATCGTGATTTACAGGAACAAGTCGCTGCATACCGCGACGAACTATTATTTGTTTAGTTTGGCGTTGTCGGATTTGGTGCTACTAGTGTCGGGGTTGCCGCAAGAGATTTACCTCATTTGGAATAGGTGAGTTTTCCAATATTTATTTTTTGTGATTTTTCTATACAGGGTGAGTTTAAAATAAGTGCAAATATTTTTAGGGCTGGTAGACATCGATAAAAGAAATATATTTTCTCTTTATTGTTTTTCAAATTAGTCCAAAATAACCTAGATATTTTGCTTTGAAAATAAAAAAAAATATTTTTTTCTTTTAAATTTTGAGAATCTTTTCTAGGTTTTCTTTCTTGTAAATTTAATCTACTGCCTATGTTGCCATATTATGAAGATATTATATTTTTCACTAAAAATTAAAAAATTTCCAAAAATTTTTTCAAAAAGTTCCAATTTTTTTTTGCCAACAAATATCATAGACGTGTTTCTGGGGTGGAAATATACTACCTTTAAAAAAATTGCACTTATTTAGGAGCAGTATATTTCGACCCCAGAAACACGATTATGATTTTTTTTAAATTTGAAAATTTGAAATTTTTTGAAAAAAATTTTGGAGTTTTTTTTAGTTAAAAAACATAATGTCTTGATAATATGGCAACATAGGTAGTAGATTAAATTTACAAAAAAAACTCCAGTGATTTTCAAAATTCAAGCAAAAAATATTTTTTTTTGGAAATTTTCAAGGTAAAATGACTTGGTTATTTTGGACTTATTTCAAAAACGGTAAAGAGAAAATATGTTTCTTTTATCGAGATCTACCAGCCCGGAAAATATTTGCACTTGTTTAAGACTCACCCTGAATAAGTGCCAATCAGTGGTGTAGTTCAATAACAACAACATATCTATAAGGATTTTTGGGGAAATAGAGAGTTTAAAATTTTATATGTAGGTATTTTTATTTTTTTTAATTTTCAATTAAGAAACACGACAAGTCTTGGTAATATGGCAACATAGGTGGTAAATTAAATTTAGAGAAGCAAAATCACAAAAAAAATCAGTGGACGTCGAAATTTAAACAAAAAAAATGACTTTTTTAAATTTTTAAACTAAAATATCTCGGTTATTTAGGACTCGCCCTGTATAGTGAATAGTTTATTTTCAAATTTTAAATAATTGGTTAATTAAAGTTAGTCCTTAAAAATATACCATATACGTTGGAAGATAAAACGGCGTCAGTATTGGCTTGGAAATAAAATATGCTGTTATTTTACATGTAAATTTATATGGAGGAATTTTTACTTCATTTTAGATATTAATTTTTGGACAGGCACGAATAAAATTATAGAAACAAATGAAGAAACAAAATTAATATAAAAAGAAAAATAATATTTCACAACACACAAAGAACAAAGAAAAACACTTTTTAAATATCTAAATACGACTATTTAAGAATACTTTAGTTTTTTTTTTGACATTATATGAAGTCAAACTTCAAACTGATCTTTACTATCTAATAACTATTATTACTTAATATGAGGTAAAACGAAACAGCTTCAAACTTTCTGTATAAATGTGAGTATTTTTGGTTTGTGTTTGTTTTTAATTTTGTTATGTTAGGTTTATTGATGGCGCCCTCTACAAGCAGGAGTCATATCGATTTTAAAATCAAATTTCTCATGTCAAAAAACTTCCGGACAGCAATTTTCATCCATCGAAATTGGTTGAGAAATTAATTGAAAAAAATCGAAATAAAAATGAAACTTCTACACCCTGTATCTGCGAAACGAAGTATTTTAGTACATATATTTATAGGAACTTTTTTACTTATTTTTATGTGCACTATATGCTGCTAAAGTTTCCGGAATACAGTTGAGACCACCCTGTATATTAAAATTCATAGCACAAGTTTTTGAAATTAAATAAAAATATTCATATATCAGCACTGTTGCCAGATAATTTTATATGAAACTCATATTTAGTTGAAGTCTGTGAATGACACACGTAAGCATTTTAGGACATACATTTATATATATATATATATATACGAACTTTTGTACTCATGTTTATCTGTAAACAATTTGGACCACACTGTATACTGAAAAATAAAATAAAAAATATTAGACAAATATGTTTCATTTCTTAAAGTTTTATAACTACTTGAAAAACTATTTATTTAAATATTTTCTATGTAAAAAATGCCTCTGGTACAAAAATTAAATAATTAAAAAAATATATTATTTTGTAAGCAATTCTAACGATATTTTAATAATAATTTATGTATAAATTTTAGTGTATATTATTCGTAATTGGGCAATCTGTTATGATAATCAAATATAATCATCTTTTTAATAACTGTTAATAGGCGTAGGCTTATTTTTGATAAATAAATTATCTGCTCAATTATTTAGCAATACCTACTACTATAATTCAAAAACATATATTTTGATCAATGAATTTATTTATGTAATTAATTTAATTATTCTCTATTCAATTATTAATTAAAAATAACATGTATTTGGAAGATATTTGGCAATTGAATGCTGATAAATATTCTGTTGTTTAGTATGTTTAATTTCTAAATTCCGTTACTACTAATACAGGGTAGTTTTAAAATTCGACATCTACCATTGCTATCTCGAAAACTAAAACTCGTTTCGCTCCCATATAACATGGTGGGGATTATAATTGCTCGGTACACTGCAAGTTTCGATTTTGTACTCAAGTCATGATTGTAGAAAACGCTGTCTTTTAATTTCCAGAATGCTCTAGAGGCGCTGAATTTCAGAGTCGATAATGGCCCTTTCCGAAATCAAACTGCCGAGGTTGAATTCCGCTACATATTCCAATAGTTCTTCTCCGATTTTTATAACATTGTTGTGATCTTGATCCGGGGGAGTGCACATGATTTTAGTTTTATCGATATTCAACTTAAGTCCCATAGCCTCGTATGCCCATGTATATTTGTTCAACATTTCTTGCAATTGCTGTAACGTATTTGCAACTAGAGCACAGTCATCAGCGTATTGAAGTTCTGTGATGAATTTTGTACGTGTTTTTGCCCTGAGTCTTTTTATGTTGAACAGACCGCCGTCGTATCTGTGTCTAATGCCCAAACCTCTCTCCTGTAGTTTGCTGTCCACTATAATGGAGAGCGCTGCCATGAATATATTGAATAGGAGAGGTGCTAAGACACATCCCTCCCTAACGCCTGTGTTTGCTAGGAAGGGATTGTTCAGTGATCCATGATATGACACTCTTGATTTGTTGTTATGGAGGCTTTTACACACTGTTAGAAACTCGTTGTGTACTCCGAACTTTTTCATAATTGCCCAAAGCACATCTCTGTTTACAGAGTCGAAGGCTTTGGTTAGATCGATGAATGCAACGTAAAGTTTAGACTGCTGCTCTTTTACTTTTTCCTGTAGCTGGCGGATGGAGAATATGGAATCGACCGTACCGCGGTTGGTGCGAAAACCCGTTCGCGATTCTGGGAGGATTTTTTCTATATGTGGGTGCAGGCGGTTTGACATAATTTTTGCAAGAATTTTTCCTCCGATAGCCAGTAGTGAAATTCTTCGGTAGTTTCCGCAGTTTGATGCACTTCCTTTGTTCTTAAATATATTCACTATATTCGCGTTGCCAAAGTCCTGAGGTACCTCTCCGCTTTCCCATATGACATCGAAGAGAGCCTTAAGACGACCAATAAGTTTTTTACTGAGGTATTATGTTGAGCTATTATCGAAATCTATAGAAGATACGAGGATGGACCAACACAATCAAGTTTTCTTCTTTTTTTTATTAAAGTCTTTTAATTTTGAAGAAGAAAAAATGTCACAGGTTAAAAAAATAATCAAACCAATTTTAAAAAAACTACTAATTTTAGATGAAAAAAAAAACAAAGCTATGAACCTATGGCTATGAACGTATCAGTTAGATAAAATAATAGACGAGACCAACAATAAAGTTTATTGAGTGCTTTACAACCACATAACCAGTGTTCACTTTTATAAACATTTTCACCAAAATGACGAATACACGATTTTAATTTAGAATTAATGTTCAAAATATGCTTTGGAGGTCCTTCTTCAATAGTTTTTAATTTTTCTGAATACACCATAGAACTGAAGGATGATGCAAAATTATTTTTATTTTACGGTCGCACTCAGAATCGGTCATCGCGACGCGCGACGGTATTTTTTATTTTATACCGCCAACGAGATGTGTTGAAAAGACCGCCTCACCCGCCGCACAGTGGGGTATTTGACACTGATAGTTGATCGACATTTTTTTATGTAGACCTTATATAAATTATTGCTATTTTCAATTAAAGAGGAAATAATATGAACAAAATAAAGGATAATTCGTCGATTCAAAAAAAAGAAAGAAAAATCACTGTTCCAATGTTTCAACGGTCAGTGCCAGTAGTAGTATCGCAACTACTACTACTAATGCTACGACTGATCCGCGAGCAATGCCCATACCGCTAAAGTCGCTACTAATGCCAAATTGTGCTATACTGCTAATGGCACTAATGCGATCGCTTTGTACACAACAATGCCATCGCGGTTTACACCTCGCATTAGTATATCACTGATTGGCAAATTAGAGGAAACCAAGAATGTTTTTCTCATTTTATCAGCAAAGTCGCAAAAATTCGCAGTATTTTATTTTACTGTATGAAAGCCCAATGTTTACTAAGTAAAACGTATATAGACAATATGCTGAATTCTTCGAAATGCGCAACTAAATCTCTAAGTATAATAAAAATGTCACAAATTTAATCAAATTTTCTGAACGCCTAACTTTTAGTTGCAAAAAAAATCGTTGGTATAGAGAATATCAAAATAAATAATACGTTTTTGTAGAATACATACCTGCAGCTTGCTGAGCCATTTTCAATCAAAACTATAACATAAACGTAAAAAGAGCACAAGAACAACAACAATTTATAATTTTAAACATAAAATTTAGCCATTTACCTCTTATCTGTGAGAAGTAACAACTTTGACGTTTCGTTGAAACAAATGAATGCAACTAAACACACCCATAGCAACGCCATTCATGGCAGAGATGATTTAACTTATCATTTATCTTTTTTTGGGAAATCTTAAACACATTTGCTTTTTCGAATTTCG